AGCTATTATTTCACATACAGGAGGTACTGTAAGTAGCCTGAGAACTGTTATTCTGATATCATGTTTTCAAACATCAGCTGTTTAGTCTAGATTTGTCCTTTCTTCATTTGAGAACATTTACTCTTTTGCAGCAATGTTGTGCAAAATCCCATCAAAGTTGCAGGACTTCATTAGCCTGGCAAGCCAGACTAAATAAATGTATTATTTAGTCTGGCCATGCTCCATTGACGGCTCTCGGTTGTGGGGCGGGTTCTACCGTTGTCTTTCAAATGATCTCCGCATCCTACTGGACAATGAATGTGACATACTCTTGTTTCACTCTGTTGCATCATCCCACCCACCAGGCATATAGAGTGCCCTGATTGGCCCACAAAGCAGATAAAGCTCTGTGATTTGTTCACTAAGCCGATAGAGCACTATGATTGGCCCACCATTATGGACCAATCACAGCTCTTTATGTGTTTGAAACCCCTCTAGAGAGCTGTGATTGGCTAGCCAGAGTCCTGGTAGGAGCTGCGGAGGTTCCAATGGAGCGTGCCTAGACCATTCTTTGCAAAGCAAGAATTTGGTCTAGTTCACTAGGCTAGGACTTCAGCATATTTTTATCCTAATTTCTGACAGTCGTTGCACCATTGGTTGTTCACATCTGCATATGCTTATTGGAGTTGTGCTTACATTTTCAGGTGTGGCGAAATAAGCCTTTGCTCCTTGGCTCATGCAGGAATCTGCCACCTGCTTTGACATCACAAATACACTATTGAAATAATTAAGTTGCTTCCCATTATTTTAAGTCCAAAATTTTGGAAAGACTTTTGAGCAAAAATAGCTAAATTATCATCACTGCACTATCAGTGTGTGCAATATCACTAACGACAGCTTGAATCCCAGTAGATCATAGACTCTTGGAGACTTGCATCTGCATGTTGACCCAATGGGTTCTCACCTCTACTCTATGGTGCAGCCCAGTCTGCATTACTTTCTTCGTAAACATAATGACTAGATCTGTAGCCAAAGTCACATAAAATATTTGGTGTTAAAACTCAAGATGTTGCCCCTCAAAGATATGAGCCTGTGTGCACGCATGCATAAATGTGAACATGCATTTCCCTGGGTGTCTAATGATAGAATAGTGGATATCTGCCTTTCCATCCACATGTTGTGCATGTGTTAACATATCAGGAGTGTGAGAATACTTAAGAAATCAGACTGATCTGAGTGCCTGAGGACTTTTAGCTGCAGAGAATCTGCTGTGAAACATGACAGAACCTGCAGCCGCTTCAGAATGAGAAATGTGGACTTTTACTCTCGGTTACAAGCCCAACCTAAAAATGTTTAACTTGTAATAAAGTGATTTGAAAAAGGATGTTTGTCAGAAAACATGGGAGAAACTTAAAAGAGAGAAAATTATTTAAAGTAAAGTTAGCACTAATAAAAACAGAAGTTAACAGGAGGGGAAAGTTGACAGATCTAGTTAGAGCCATGTAGGGATACGTGTGTGTGAGTGTGTGTGTGTGTGTGTGTGTGTGTGTGTGTGTGTGTGTGTGTGTGTGTGTGTGTGTGTGTGTGTGTGTGTGTGTGTGCTGATGTGTTTGACACCAGTCTGTGATGGCCTTGCGTCAATCACCCTGTGGCAGCTCTTTAACCTTGTAATTTATCCCATCACTCTTCTCGCAGTGATGTGACCACTGAGAGCACTCAGATTCCTTAGATGTCTGAGAAAACGTCTGAAATTCTTTCTGCTTTTTCATCTAAGAGTTTTCTTCTCTGGGTCCCAGGAGACGAAGGATAAATCATAAAATTTGAACTAATTTACTCATATGTGTGGTGAGTTTCTTCTGTTTAAAATAATTATTTTGCCACTTTGAAATGTGTTTCTGTATGAAGTTGTGTAACTTTCCTACCAGTTGTAGCTTCCTGAACAGCCTTTGTTCGGTGTTAGCTATAGCGTCCAGGAAAGAGTAGAGAATGCCTCGACCAGTAGAAGCTAACCGTTAGTATTAGCAACTCCACCACACAGCATAATTCCTTCAGGTTTGTGTTATTTGTTGAGATAAAATATCAACACTGTAGAGCAAACAGAGTCAGTGGTAGTTGTGTTGCTGTTAGCCTATTCGAGGAAAGATGTCCAGATATCAGTAAATAAGACTCCAAATCCTGCCGTTTTCTGCCACTTTGTCCTCCGGCTGACTTCTACGTCCTCAAACAGGCGCACCAGAGCTTTTTGTCCCCAGAGAACCATTTACAAGGCATTCTTTCACTAACGACCATTGTTAATGTATTAAATGTATGAGTAAAGTTGACTTTTAAGACACTTTCATTTTGGCTGTGCTTGGCCTAGTGGTAAGCTTATCAGTCCTGCTGTTAATCCAGACAGAAGACAGAGGTTGTTTAGACAACTGTCTACAGCAGGATACAAGATACTAATTATTTGTACCTTTACACAGAAACACACTTCATAATTTCGTTAAATGTCACTTGGTTGCAGTCACAAGTTGCTAATTTTGAAACATTAAGAATGTATCTCTGTCACACACCCAATCCATATTTCAAAAAGACACTTTCTGTTAGACACACCCACTGATATGTGTTCTCCCCGAGGGGACAGAGACAGAAGAGCAGAGAAAAAGATGCAAAGAGCTGACAAGGTTGCAATTCCTGGTCACTGTCTGAAAGTGAAGTCCTGTGTTTTCCCTTCTGTCCTTTGATGTTAAAGCAGTCTCCTTAGCAGTGTAACGACAGGATACAATAACCTCACCCCCCTGCCCACCCTCCACCCAGGCCTCTGTGCATTGTCTGCGTGCACACCAAGCCCCCACAATTCGGTTCTGAAAGTGAGGCCAATGTGGAAATGAAAAAAATTGCAGTTCCACCCTCATCCGCTGGGGGCTGGTGTCAGAAGTGAGCAAATCCTCTTTGACTCCCATGTTAAAAATACCAATTTCACAGCAGAAATAAACATGTTTACAGCCTGGTTCAAAACATGTTTCCGTTTTAATAGATATAGTTTATACTCATGACAACTCTGAGGGGGGTGAATTTTTTGTCACTTTTCTGTTTAAGTGTATTAAAAGCCTAAAATTCTGACTAATTAATGAGCATCAGACCCACGTGACCACAGAGCTAGCTCCGGGGAAAGGCCTCAGCCTGAGCCTCGGCCTCGCCTGAAAACTGTTGCGCCATTTTTAGTCTCTCAACTTAGACCATCAGTTATAGCGTTTGTGTATTCTTTTTTGGATATTTTTTGTGCAATTGTTGGACAAAATGACTTGCTGTGGCATTAATTGCACTAATAGAGCGTCCAAGGAGTCTCCACTTCATTTTTTTCAGTAAGTAAAATTATATTTATGTATTTTAGGTCACTGCTGCTCTTGCACTAGCTGTGCTTAGATTTTAACATGTACTGTTTAACCATGAAATTTAAATGTAATAGGGTAAAACCCAGTGCATTTAACATAGTGCTGCATTTTAGAAAATGGGTTGAAATTTAACATGTTGGTGGAGCTGGGTTCCGACTATGGTCCCCTCCCGGAAGCTCGGCGCTTGTCTGCTGTGCGGCTGCCGGCTTGTGGAGCTCTCGGGAGACCTCTGTGTTCCACCTGGTTTTACTCAGCAGTCAGCCCGGCGTATCTGTGACTCAGAAGCTCTGGTGTTGTGCACAGTTATCTCCGGTTGTAGCTAGGTTGCTACCTCTGTTAGCTTAGCTCCCACCTCTGCATTAGCTTTGCGTTAGCTTCAGGTTAGCTTGTAGCTACATTAGCTTCAGTTCGACCGGGTGTCGTCAGTTGATCCCAGCCTTACAGCCCCACCTTCAGCCCCACCTCTCTTCCCTTTTGTGGAATTGTCTGGGCTTGATGGAACCTGTGACACGGTCAAAATGGCGGTGGTGACCACCTCCCATTTTATCTCAAAAACTTATTATTGGGGTCTATGGAAACCCATTGTCCATATATATATGTCAGTGGTGCACACACAGGTAACTGACGGCAACCCCAGCCAAGAATCAGAATAAGGCAAGTCCTCCATAAAAAGGGGCCAGAGAGGGATTTATATTCCATTTTTGGTTCTTTTTTACAACACAGGAAAGGTTTCTCTTTACCTTGCTGATGTTTTTGTTTGTGGCTGCAAACTTCCTTAGAGCTGACGCTGATGGTGGCGTCACTTCCTACTCTGTTTATCCGCGGGCAGCAAAGGACGTTGTCGCCCTCTACTTCCCGCCCTAACCTCTCCGATGATGCAGTCCCATGCATCCCTTAGAGACAAGGAGACGTGGATGTGGGACCATGAACAGAGACGATGGGGTTTACACATTGGGTCGCGTATAAATTGTAAGTCGCTTTGGATAAAAGTGTCTGCTAAATAAATCAACATAAATAAACATATACATGAACATGATTAATGTTCCCTGTTTTGTCTGAGCTGAAGTCTGTGACTATCTCTCACCTGCGAAGTGTAATTGACAGTGCAAAGCATCCACACCCATGACTTCATCTCAGTGTCATCCAAATGCATCTGTATTCTTTGGCATTTTTCTCTTGCAGAGTAGCCATGAAACACCCGTGTAACATGTACAGTGCTGCAGAAGAGTTTGTTGCACTTGTTTGCCATGAAGCTCTGAGGCATATAACTACAAATACATCACTCCTGCTGACCAGCTACTACAACAGTTTCACAAATACTATCTAGCTCATTGTTTATAATGTGTACATTTGTGTTTGCTCAGTTTTAATATCACAATAGAGCCATTATTCTATAGAATGAGATATTATAGGAAATACACGAATGCAATAGGATAATTTGATTTTCAGGGATAATCACTAAAATGATTAGAAAAATAAAAAGATTTTATGAAGTCACACTAGACTGCTCTATTGGCTTGATTTCATCTATTGCCTTTTTGACCCTTGAGATACCTGTCTACTAGTTATCTCCAAGATATTCATCTATGGTGGTGTTGGGACCGCCCTGACACACTCTCCATCTTTCACTTGTCTCTTGTCCAGGGCTGCAGACTCAGGTTACGCTCCATCTGATGGCGTTCTGCCTGGCTGAGCTCCACTTGTGGTCCACCAAGAGCTCGCTCCAAGTTAAAGGTACCACTTATCACCATGTTCAGTCTTCCTCCTATAAAGTATCTCCTTGTCTTCTTTTGTTTTCAGCTTTGTCTTGTTTTGATCGTCGCTGTCAACAACCACTTTGTTTTCACACCAGCCGTATCTACCTGAACAATCTGACTCTTGGACAGCATCTTTTCTCACCTTGTCTAGTTTACATTTTAATGTTCTTATTATCTGAATGTCACATTATTCTTGACAGTCTTGCCATGTGAGATGTATTTATGTTTTATTTATGTCGATGGCCTGAACTCTGTTGACCTCTGAACTCTGTAAATGGATGGACTGACCCAACCGAGCCCAGTTGGGGCTCACCCAGATGTGAAAGTGTGACAGTCCCTATCCTGGGTCTTTAAGTCTCTTGCCAGTTGGACATGCCTGAAAAACTTCACTAGGGAGGTGTCCAAGAGGCATCCATCCAGATGCCCAAGCCATCTCAGGTGGCTCCTCTCAATGTGGAGGAGCAGCGTGTCTACTCTGAGCCTCTCACGGATGACCGAGCTTCTCACCCTATCTCTAAGGGAGAGCCCGGACACCCTGCCGAGATGTTTGACACTTGGTTGCAAACCTCTTCAGAGAAAGTTGGAGATCACGTTCTGATGAAGCCAACAGGACCACATCGTCTGCAAAAAGCAGAGACATGATCCTTAGATCACCAAAATGGATCCCTTCAACACCTTGGCTGCACCTAGAAATCCATAAAATACTGTATATGAACAGAATTGTTGACAAAGGGCAGCTTTAGTAGAGTCCAACTCTCAATGGGAACGAACCCGACTTAATGCCGTCAATGTGAACGAAGCTCTGGCACTGTTTCCACAGGGACCTAACAGCCCAGTCTGTCCACACCTTCAAACTGTCAGACTCTAACCTCCACCATGGTCAAGCTGTCTAAGGAAATCAGGGAAATGTTTTTCCATCTACACAAGACTGGGATGAGTCAATCTTCAGATGGCAAGCAGCTTGGTACGAATAGGTCAACTGTTGGAAGAATTATTAAGAATGGGATAAATACAAGATTACTGAATATCTCCCTCAACTTGGGGCTCCATGCAAGATCTCACCTTGTGGAGTAGAAGTGATCTTGAGAAAGTTAAGAAAACAGCCCAGAACTACACAAGGGACACTGGTCAATGACCTGAAGAGAGATGGGACCACTGTAACAAATCCTGCAGCACTTAACAGGTCCCCTTCCCACAAGTCCAGGATTTTGTCCAGGAATTTGCCAGATACCATCTGGATCATACAGAAGAGGATTGGGAGAATGTCATGAGGTCAAATGAGACAGAAATAGAACTAGGCAAAAACACCACTCGCTGTGATTAGAGAGGGAAGAATGTTGAGTTGCATCCCAAAAACACAATACCTTCTGTAAAACGTGGTGTTGGAAACATTATGCTTTGGGTCTGCTCTTCTGCAAATGGTACAAGATGACTGATACATGTTAACGTAAGGATAAATGGGGCCATGTATCATGAAAAAATTTCCTTCCATCAGTGAGAGCATTGAAGATGAAATGTGGCTGGATCTTCCAGCATGACCACAATCCCAAACACACCACTAGGGAAGCAAAGGAGTGGCTACGTAAAAATCATTTCAAGGTTTTGGAGTGGAGTCAGTCTCTAGACCTCAAGTCAAAAGAAAATCTATGGAGGGAATTTAATATCTGTGTTACCCAGTGATAGCCCAAAAACATCACAGAAGATCTGTATGGAAGAATCGCTCAGAATAGCATCTAAAATGTGTGCAAATTTGGTGAAAACCTATAGGAAATGTTTGACCTCTATCATTGGTTACACAAGCATTTAGGAGATTTCTTTGTTGACTAAATATTTATTTTCTGCATCATTATACAAATGAATTCTTTAAAAAATGTATGTTGTATGTTGTCAAAAGTGTTTCTGTGTTACCAAATTCTTCTTACAGGAACATTTAAATCAATTTTATTCAGTTTCACAAGATTGTCAGTTTAATCATCGAGTTGGTATAAAGCAGAGGAAGTCTTCCAGATGAGAGAAACATGTTGCAGTGGAAAACTACCAACCATCAAACCAAGTTTAGTTTCACTTTGACTCTTTTTGTCAGTTTTTGTTGGAACCCTGATCACCACCTATCGGCTCCATCTCTCCTGTCAAACCCAAACTCTATTTTTCACCCATTTCTTGTTTTTTAGCCCCTTGCTTCCATTTTGTCTTGTCTTTCACCGTCTGTTGAGCTTTTGGCACAGATAGTGTCTCTCAAAGGCTTGCTGCCTGTGTGAATGTGTGTTTGTTTACTTCTAGGTGTGTGGTGTCATGTGTTCGGTGACATATCCTTGTGTGTTTGTTTTTTCCTGCTGTTTGTGTCGTCTGCTATCTCAGGAAAAAAATGTGGATGAATACATCTGAGGGGAAAGACCTGATTGTTGAAGTGTGAACAAAAATATAGGTTGAACAAAAAGAGAAAAAACACTGAAATGCATCCTCAGCTTTGCCGTTTTGCAAGTAGACATCATTATGGTAAAACTTAATGTAACCAACTGTTTTAATGTGCCAACCCCTCTGCTTGCGCTTCTGTAATGATTTTTATATACTGAGCCTGTTTTGCTGACATCTAACATAGCACCTTTCTGAAAAATTTGGACGATACTGATATCCAGTATTATGGTGAATGGCCTGTATTTGTATAGCACAGTCATCCACCCATTTACACACACGATCACAAGCTGGTGATGATGAGCTACATTTTAGCCACAGCTCCCCTGGGGCACACTGACAGAAGCAAGACTGCAGAACGCTGGTGCCACCGGTCCCTCTGACCATCATAACACTGCTGTTGTGGCCCATAATCGATATATACCGATTCTATTAGCAATGTCAGGTATTATTGACCTACATTCATCACCGTCTGATATTAGCATTAAAATGTAAAATACTCCTCTAATGACACAGCGTTTACATACCATGCACACATTATATAGTGGCAGAACACTAGGTGCCCAGCTCAGTTTATTGCAGTCATTGTGTCCTTGGGCAGAACACTTCACTGGCTTTGGCTGCTGGTGGTGGTCGGAGGGTCTGGTGGTGCCAGTTTACGGCAACCTCTCCTCTTTCAGTGCGTCCCATGGCAGCTGTGGCTATAATGTAACTCATAACCACCAGTGTGTGAATGGGTGAATGACTGGTGGTGTTGTAAAGCGCCTTCGGGCATTGTAGAACTCTAAAAGATGCTATATAAATACAGGCCATTTACCATTTACCATTTATGTGTGAATCCTTGAAATGAAAGTTTCAGGAAATAATCACTGGAGGAACATGTACAACTGATTAATATTTGGAGACAATCCAATTCAAGATGGCCGCCCCCTTCACTGCTGAGCTTAGCCAAATAAGACGTATACTTCTGACATTTTTGAGCTAAAATCTGATGTGGTAGTAGCTGAGAATAATCCGCATCAAATTGTCAGTGTCCAGTGAATATTGGTATTTTATAGTTTTGACCAAAATGACTATAATCTCATGAATTTCTCCACATGAGGTGATTTTTAAAACTCTTAAACTTTTTATGTTTTTTTAGCATTATCAGACAAAAGTAACTCATGTGGCAATAAATACATGCGTATCACTATTTAGTGCATGTGTGTGTGTGTGCGTGCGTGCGCGTTTGTGCTCGTGTGTGCATGCATGCGTGTGTACATGCATACGTGTGTATGTGTATGTGCATACTGTATGTGCGTGCATGTGCATCTGTGCGTGCTTGCATGTGTGTGCGCATGCATATGCATTTGTGAGTGTGTGTACACATGTATATGTGCGTGTGTGCGCGTGTCCATATGTATGTGTGTGTGCTTGCGTGTGTGTGTGTGTTCTTCTGTTGTATTTGTATGACCTGGCCTCAGGAGCTGCAGCAGCAGCGGTGGAGCGATAAAGAAACGATGTGTTGAGCGAATCTAAGGCTGCCTGCTTATGGTTTTGGGCCTGCAGGAATATAACCCATAAAAAAACACCTTGGCTCAGCAGTTTGTCTGCGTATGCATCCATATCTGTGAGTGTGTGTATTTCTGCTTGTTGTATGCTCTGCATATGTCAGTTATATGTTTCTGTAGCTGTCTGCAGAATCTCTACTTTGAAATGTTGCATGTTTACAAATCAGAGTTTGTCCCTCAGGTGGGATGGGTGAAGGCGCACTCCTGTCTTTATTAACACCCCTCAGCAGGCCCCTCCATTCTGGCCTGGACTCCCCTCCCCCCAATACAGGGTCTTATCTAAACTGTGGTGCTGGCAGACGGGACAAGCCACTGGCTGATAGCGATTGTTTATCCCACGGTGCAAAATTGCTGATCTGTCTTCTGCTTTTCCCTGACAGCGAGATGTTCATCTCACTTTCTCCCTCTTTCCCCGCAGATACAGATATTGGCACCTATCAGTACTACGATAAAGGAGAGCCAGGTAAATAGTGTTTATATTGGCTGTCTGTGTTTAAGATAAGTTGAATTTTTCTTGTTTTTGGAATGTTTGTGACTTCCTTCTATATAAAGAAGGGCTTTTTGCTGCCTGCTGACACACAGATTATTGGTCCAGCATGATTCGATGTCTTCCAGCCGCTAACCACACATACACTTGCACACACAAAGGCTATTAGTATGAAGGATTTACACCCTAAAACCTTATATACACATGCACATACCACACACACACAGATTATAAGGTCTCTTCGGTTCTATCTCTTATGCTCTCTGTGTTCCTGTTGACCTCGGGGTCCTGCCACACAGCGATAGGAAAACTAAACTGTTGACTTTCTCCTAGATCACATAGCAAGAAGCCCCATGCAGTCCGGCCTCATTTTGCCCGAGGCCAGGAGGCTTCCCGAACAATCAGGATGTGCCCAGATCGTTCCCCCTGCTGCTCCAGCAGCAATAAAACAGACAGGCTCGTTTCCATTGCCTTTCTCTGCACCTTTAGCTTTATTTTCTTTTTAAAAATTTATGTTGTAAGTTTCAGAAATTCTGCAGGTTGTCGCTCTGTCTGTGCGCCACGCCTCAAAAGCATGGATCTCTTGACTTGATTGGAAATATTCTCATGACATCAAAACTATTAAGGATATGAAAGTATTTACTAAAAGTGAAAACTACTCCTTTCTTATATATTTTGCTGTGGAGGCAAATTATTTAGACAGATCAGTGTGTTTTAATTTAAAACAACAGTAAACATGATACTGTTAAGTTCATTGGTTCCTTCTGGGAATTTATTTTGGATTCAAATTCTGTCACACATTCACTAAAGATCTAAATATTTACAACTAAAACAGACAAAAATACACCTGTAATCAGAGACAGACACCAGTCAGCCAGACCTGCTCAACATTTAAGGGAAATCTGACAACAGAAAAGCCAGAATTATATTCTTAGAAATGTTTCATTGTTGTAGAATCCTAATCTGGGACTATAACTATTAATATTTAACATTAAATGTGTCTGATGTATGCTGATGTTACTACAGCAGCTATGAAGGACCTTAATAAACACCCTAACGTAGTTTTTATTTTCTGTACTTTCACAATTTAAATTTATAGACAAATCAAAAATAAAGATAATCTTGTAATCTAGTAATGGCGATACCTTTATGCATTTCCCCCCTAAGATTTTACCGTTTATTTATTTATTTTCTTGCCAAATGAGTGTTTTAAGAAACATTGATAAAACATATTTATTAATTTATTCTGTGACAACAGCTGCACTTCAGCACATCTTGTAAAAGCCTGAAATGTTCCAGGTTAATCGTGTAAGCATCAAATATTCAGCTTCAGTTTGTTGTGTAAATGTTTGACTCAGATTTCCTGATTCACACATAAAAACAAACACATCGTTTCATCTGGTATTTGCAGCAATTAGATTAATTATTTAACTTCCATTATTTGTTTCCATGTTTTTTGTGTGAATTTATTCAAGGAATAAAAGTATTTATTTTTCAGCCTCACCTGCTGTTATTATTCTCCCTCCCAGCATGGATGTCTGATGTTGTACATTCATTCCACTCTTTTATGTATTGCCTTCTTTTTGTTTTATTCCACGCGTGTTTATTTTTTTTCCTATAGTTTTGTGGCACAGTAAGTCTCCTCTTTTCCTGTCATCACAAGGTTCTCTCATTTCTCTCATCTGAGGAGCTGCCTTCTCTTTCTTTCCAATCTTCAGTGGGGAGACGATGCTCTTGCTCCCAAATCCTTTCATTTGGAGGATTACTAAAGTGTGGCTTGATATCAGAGCGCAGAGAGGAGGAGGGGAGTAAGAGGCAGAGCAGGGGAGCAAAATCCAAAAGTATCATAACACTCTCAGACCGCGGTGTAACAACAACTCAGGTCATGATTTCATTTGATAGCCTTTAGAAAACTTAGAATTAGATTGAATTTTTTGTTGTTGTTGTGATTTTTGGTCAAAGAAAAGTAAATCAAATGTGTGTGTGTGTGTGTTCAGCTAAGCAGTAAAAAACAGCCTTTTTGACCCTTTGTTTTCAGATTTTGGGTTATTTACATTAAATTTAAGGTTTGAATGGTGCTGGAAATCCTTTGGTCCTTGGATTTTGGATTTAGAATAGTCAGAAACAAAGAGAGTGCTGCTTTGGGAATGCAATCCCAAGTTACAAATGTATATTTCAGATCATTAGAAGAAGTTGTAGTTGTTTTCTGACATGGAACAATAGATTATATTGTGCTGTATTCAGTTTTCGTGAACATTTTATTTATTCTTTGTTTTGGGATTCCAACACTTGAAAATCAACCTTAAAATCCGTTAAAGGGTTTAGTGTTGTTTCCATTCCCGTCCACTAGAGGGGGACCTAGGCTCAGTGAACTGGCTGTCAGGGTCTCCAGCTGCCAGTGTGCCCATCACCCCCCCCCCCCCCCCCCCCTTTCATCCAGCCCCAGAGCAGGTGCCCATGTCTGGGCCTGTCTGGCCCTTCACCCCCTTATCTGATTAATACTACTAATCCTGGAGGTGTTCCTGCCCGCCACAGAGGCCGGCCACCAGACCGGCCACTTCCATGCTCGGGGTGGCCAGGCCACGAGGCACGGTTACGGGTTACTCTTTGCCAACACTGTGCCCCCTCAGAGATGAAGCGGCGTTTGAGCTGCGGCTTCTGTTCTTATTTATCTTCATCATAAAAAGAAAAGCCACTCATTTATCCGGTGTTGTTTTCATGTCTGAATCCATCCTGTATTTCCCTTCCAGCTCATTCCCTGGAGCATCACTACTACAGTGACAAACTCCACTTCTGTCAGGGTAAGCTTAAACAGAAGGTCACATTTTATTACACCTGTGTGTGTGTGTGTGTGTGTGTGTGCGTGTGTGTGTGTGTGTATGTGTGTGTGTGTGTGTGTGTGTGTGTGTGTGTGTGTGTGTGTGTGAATCTTAAACATCTCACCAGAGGATGGCCATCTTCCAGAAATCACAGTTTTACTCACTCGACCGTCCTCCTCCGCCTCCCCCTGTAGTGGAATACAAACATCCTTATCAGAAGACAAAAACTCATCCCCCCCTGCCCTCCCCTCCCTCTTCTCCCTCCTCACCCCCACACCCCCATTTGCATGCATCTGTTTACCTCCTCCTCCCTCTTACTCTTAATAAAGAAGTCTTCTCCTTAATGTTTCTGTAAAGATGAAACGAGAGACTGTAAAATAAACAGATAAGGGTTTGGTTGCACCACTTTAAAAGCAGCAGCGCTTCCCTTTCCTCTATTTCCACCCCCTTCTTGTTTATGCGAGGGCAGAAGCAGATGCACAAATTCAATTAACTGTTTTTTTCTATATGCTTCCTTCCCTCAGTTTAACCACTAGAGATGGATGAGGGGGGGAACGGAGGGCTGGGAAATTAAAATGAATGGGCCTCGGTGTTGGTACGTGCGGAGATATGTGCTGCAAACTGTGAGGTTGCATTTGGGAGATAACTCAAAAGCGCCACAAGTCCTCCCGATTAAATGTTTGCCTCTCCTCAAGGATCAGTTTGTGTGTTTTGAAGTGGCATTTTGCTTCAGTCAAATATTTAGTTTATAAATAACGTACCCAGGTGTCAAAGCTACAGGTAGCAAGCAGCGTTTCAGTCGTAAATTCAGTGGGAGGGCGTGATTTGGAGCCATGTTGTTTTTCTTTGCCTACTCTTTTAGATCCATCCAAAATGTTTTTTCTTAAAGCTGATATTTAGCTAAAGGCATGCTGCAGCACCGAAAAGTTAAAATACGAGTTGTGTTTCTTCTGCAGTTGGAAACAGGAAAAAACTGATCTCACCTGCATGAGAGTATTGCATTTAAGTTGAAATTAAAACTTAGCAGTATGTAAGAATATAGTGAGAATTTTACAGTGAGAAAATCTCAAAACGTATTTCATATCCAGCTGGCCATGAGGACTGTCAGCTTTTCTCCTTTCAATACAAGAAAGGAGGGTCGTAACTCCTGTTTACCATCAGTGAGTGTGGGGGTGCCGAGTCTCCTGTGAGCTAATACTGCAGCACTGACAACTGTAGTTTGACGACGGCCAGCAAAAAGCTCCAGAGTTGTTTAACGTGGTTGCAGTAACCACATTTTATCAGAGGGTGTAATTTTTGCATAATTTCTACATAATGCACCTTTAGCACCTGCCTTATCAGCCTGCGTCTTTTATTAATTAACCTGTGATTGCTATATCAATTCGTCCAGGGCCACACACACACCTGTATGCTCTCCATGTTTTCCTGCTTCAAGACATGTGAATTAAATGATGACTAACAGGCAGAGGAGGGCATTTACCTGTCTGAGTCAGGTGTGTTAGAGCTGGACCTAAAATGTCCCTTGGTGACCAAATCATTTACACTTTGCTTCTTTTTGAATTATCTTATGTTTGTGTTAAAATGTGAAGCCACACGAGCTCCTGAATCCTGGTGCTTTCCTCCGTAGCTCGAGGCTATCCATGGACCCCCAGGAACCATCGACCAGAAAAGCTATGCGATTCGCTGAAGGAGTTGGAGGTAACTTCCCTCACACGCACGCACGCACGCACGCACGCACACACACACACACACACACACACACACACACACACACACACACACACACACACACACACTTCATCATCCCTGTCTAGCTTCTTCCTCCCTCTGGGGATTTTTGGAGTTTTCCCTTTCCGAAACGGCCGATTGATTAACAAATAGGGGCATTCTCTGTCTGCCTTCACTCTCCCTGTCGTTCTCGTTTGTTCTCCCCCCTCCTCTCTCATCACCTCTCTTTCGGCTGAACTCTGTCATCGAAGGGGATATTTGAGGGGATCAGGGGGCTGCTGGCTTCCCTCCCTCCCTCTCTTCCACCTCCTTCCTTCACTCTTTTCCCATTCACGCATTGCTGCTGTCCCTGTACCTGCAGGAGCAGTACAGACAGACCTAGCTTTGTTTGCTGAAACCTGTCTGTGGCTGTTCCACACACACACACACTCCTCACCCACCCACCTCCCTCCTCTCACCCGTAACCATTGTCTGAAACTAGAAACACCCCCTGCTCTCCTCCACACCCTACCTCCATCTCCTTTTTCTCCATCCCTCTCTCCTCCCATCCAATCACCCCAGCTGGGGTTGGAATGTGGCAGGAATGACTGACCTTACACACACACACACACACACACACACACACACACACACACACACACACACACACACACACACACACACACACACACACACACACACACACACACACACACACACACGTTACTTGCATCCTTCTTCCTCCTCTGTGAGCAGGAGTGACCGCCTGTGGACACAAACGTCTGATTTAGTTTTGTTTTCATTTCAGACTTTCTAAAGCAACCAGACACATTTTATTTTTTTTAAATGTCTTCCATAAGAGACGTTTGAAATTCTGTTATCTCTTCTCGTTCACCTTCGTCTCTTTGTCTTTCACTTTGTCCACCGTGCTCATTCAGGAGCTGCTGCAGACCAACTCCTGCATTCACACCAGATGGAGAAACAAGTACTGTTGCCAGGTACACACACCTCCCAGCCTCACACCCACGGTGTGCAAGCACACTCACACACACACCTGTTAGTACTGGTTCCTCAGCAGCCACAGATAACACATTAACTGCACTCTTGAACTATTTAAAGATGAAACAGAACAGTTAGATCTTTTTTTTGTTTCATTTCTATTTTGCTGTCCTTTATAGAAAAATGCACTTTAATGTTTTTTCAGCAAATTCACTCAAAGATTGTGTTGAATCTTTTTCCAATCAGAATTTGTTGTGAGCCATGAACAAAGTTTCTTTGCTCTTTAAAGCAACACAGGCAAATTTGGAAAACAAATTAGCTTAAAACATTTTTAATGCCTCTTAACGTTTTAACATAGTATAGCTTTAAATATATTGTGGAGGAAAAAAATTAATTAAGTGGTTCTCTCACATTTGTCTAAAAACCTCCGTCAACAACATGTGTATGTCTCACCGAACCGCAGCACTTCACTGGGTCCACATTCCTCACTCTTGTTTTTAGCAACAGAACACCACTGGTGTGAGAGGTTCTCCGCTAGATATTACCAGAGAGGGAGAAACAGCCGGCTGCTACCGCCTCAATTTTATAGGACAAACTACCAGAGTCCCAAAAAGAAAAACACCATTTGAAATCACAGACAACAAAAGATGTTTGTACCTAGAAAACGGTGACTGGTGTTTAGAGCTCTCTCGTTTCTCCTGGCAATGAAGCATCTCAGGGAAGATATCGGGGATGGGGAGGGCGAGTGTTCTGTGACCTTGTTTGCATTCAAAACCTAGCTTGTTTGCAGATTTGTTACAACAGCTTTAAAACTGAGAATAATATAACATGTTTTTAGAGTTTGTCAGAAAAAGGCCAATTTTAGAGTTTTGGATTCCGTTTTCTAAAATAACTTGCTCAAACCAGCAGAGGAACGTTCTTTTTAATATTTTAATGACATTCATGGTTGTATTTCATCTTTATAGATTATAATACATTTTTGTATGTTTTAAATGGCCTGAAAATGTACTTGTCAACTGCTTAAAGTGACAGTGTGTATTTCACTTGGCGATGGGGGGCAGTAGATACCTAAATTGTTGCAAGCTAACTGTATTTTTGTGTTGGAATAAGTCCTTGCAACAGATGCCTATTAGGGTAAAAAAAGCTCTGTGGGATGCAAACTTCAGCAAAATAACAAGCACATCAGACCTTTCATCACTGGCAACTAATAAGGAGGTAAATGTGTAAAACAACATTCATGAATGGTGAAAGTGTTGTAACTGTTTGTTACAAATCAGTAAATGCATTTTGTCCTCAAGGGCTCCCGTAGAAGGAAACATGGCATCTAATATGGTGTCGCCCAGAGACATAGACCCACGCCCATGTATTTTAGACCAGATTTTTATAGTTATATGTTGAGCAGCCACCAATATATCTTTCAACAACTGAGCATCATTTAAGTTGTTTTCAACAACATTTTGATGGATAGTTCCAGAGACAAACAATAAAAACTACACATTGCCCCTTTAAATTAAACCATTCTTTTCTCTGCAGGTATTTTGAAATGATGAATAATTTCACGTTTTTATGTTTCCGTGTTTGTGGAACATGCAGCTGCTGCTGAGCAATGGAGTTCTGGTGACTCTGGCTCTAAACGGGCCTCACCTCAAGCAAGTCTGCATAGATCACACCTTAGTGGGTCGACTGCCTGGAAACACTGTGACTGATGGTGAGTTAGAGTTTTATTTGGTATTAATTCAATAATGATTGATGCAAAGATCTTTGCAGTTCTTTGATAAAGTAAGTCAAAACCAGTTTTATTCATTGAGAAGGTTGGCTGTTGTTTCTAATATTGAACATTTCTATCTGCACGGCCATTTTTTTATTTACCTGCAAACAATTTAAACAGACAAAAGAACATGCTGTAAGCTTTTGTGAACTTTGGTTTAATTAGACTGTTTTTGATGTGAATCCCTGAATTTCAGATGTCCTGCAACCACCAGCTCAAAATGGCTTTAAGTTTCCATCAGAATCTGAGGGCTAGGTTTAGGAGAAAATTAATCATAGAGTCGTTCTTCAGTCCAACAACACAGTTTTGGTTTATTTGCATCTTTAAAACATTTATTATCTGACTTACATCCTATGTTTCAATGCTAATCTGAAATTTTTAATGAAAGCAAACACAAAGTATGAATCGCAATAATTAAATATGCATGTTTTGTCTTTCAATTAACCAAATGTTACATTTTCATTATAAATGTGGAGAGTTGGACTTAAGTGTGCAATATTTAAAACTATGAAAAAGTATTTTAAAACACTGTTTTCTCTTCTGTTATAGTATGGATTATTTTTGCAGTTCCATTTCTAACACACACACACACACACACGCCTCACCACTTTGTCACTCAAACACTCATCCACACAGGCGGTGACTCTCACACATAACAGGTGCCACAGGTGAGCCAGGCGACTCTGCTAGCTAATTGCGGGCAAATCCTTTTGTGCTGTGTGTGTCCAGGGGCCTTCCCTTAAGAGCATCCATCAGTGTTTTTCTTCCATCGTGCGTTCCTCCAGGGAGCGCCGCCCTCTCCCCCCTCATGTAGTGCTCCCTCGCTCTGCAGACCTGGCAGGAGAGAACAAGAGGCTGTGGACACCGGCCCAAATCTGCTAATTATTTCTTTCTTTCTGTATCAATTATTTGTTCATAACACCGCCCTCCCCACTTCCGTCCAGGGTCTCGAGACACTTGATAAAGCCCCTATACTGCGCACAAACACACACACACATGCACGCGCGTGCGAAAGGACACACACATGCACATAATTACACTCTTTTCCTTTTACATAGACCAACAAACACTACATCCACCTACATTTACACAATTAATAAAGAGACATGAACACACACACACACACACACACACCCACAGGTACTCACTCACCTCCCGCTGCGCTTCATTCAAAGCCTCAGAGGGCACTAATTATTAGAGTAATGGTTGTGAGAGGGTGGGTTTCGGGTGGTGTGTGTGTGTGTGTGTGTGTGTGTGTGTGTGTGTGTGTGTGTGTGTGTGTGTGTGTGTGTGTGTGTGTGTTTAGGGGGGTTGTAGCCGGATTGAGGTTCTCACATCTGCTACTTGTTAAATTAGGCTGAGACAATTAAAGCAGAGAGCCTGACCAGACCACACCATCCAACACATTTCAGATTACTGATACACTTTATACCGTAAGTTGAGTTGTGACATCTACGTGTGTGTGAATGTGTGTAGAAACATATTTAGGGTTCGGGGTTATATTATAATAGATTATTTTGTAATACCAACCGATTAGTGTCTAAAATCAGAGAATACCAGCATAGGTTTGGCCTAGATGTGGCAGGTAAACAAGCATATTTTTGTTCTCATCTCTTCCTGAAACATGCTTTAGTCAGCTTTAAACAAAGCTGCTAAACCTACAAAATAGGTTTCATGAGTAAAAAGTAAAATATTAATACTCTTCAGTTTTATTATCGTCACTTTGTTTGTCTTTTAAAATTATAATTAGCTTCCTTTATAATAAATCCGTATTGCCTAAATGGAGAAATGTCATTGCCTTTTTTCTTGATTTTTACATTAAAGGTTAAAATATGATGATTTTTGCATTTTTATGTTTTTAAATACAAAATTCAAAAGAAAATCTAAAAATAAATAACTACATTTAGAAACCTAGCTTTCATTTCATACCAGGGTTTAGGCTAAACTCCTGTTGGGAAATAATGGACTTATAACAGTTTGGGTCATAGTTTGAAAGTATATTTATGTTTGATCTGCAATTTCACAAGATCTTATGGGGATGACTATCACATCAAACTGTAACTCGATGTCAAACCCACTTGAATTTCAGCCATTTTTGTGTTTGCTCAGGTTTATTGGCTCTGATCAACATCTTGAATTGAGTTGGCTCCTAAAAGCTAATGATTTCAGTATTGAAATCTGTATAGTGTTTAGCTGTATATCCTTTATATACAAGTATTAGATATCAATAAATCCCACCTTAAACTCATTGTATGCAATGACACGTCAGGGTGTGACAACTTTCTAAAGGAGAAAAAGGTGTTTAAATACGGAAGAAAATCCCTTTTCTGATTTGCATGGATTCAACTAAACATCAGGCTTGGCTCGGTGTATTTGGTTTGGAACAAGAAGATCTGTTTTTGTTTAGAGAAACAGGCTCAACGCTCCTCTTTTAAACTTTGCAACCCGGCTGCCAGTTAACCCAGCATTGGAACCCTGAGCTCTGATTGCATCACACGAGAAGCAGATTACAAATATTTTACACCCTCTAAGTATTACCAGTTTCCATTGGCTGATGGCTGGGCCAAGCTGAGCATATGCTCCACGATAAAGCGTCCTTAAGTGATTTTTCATAGCGGGTTTCATTTACCCATGTTTAAATGTGCTTTGCGTAAGCCCATTGGCCTCTTATGTCAACATGCTGCAGAGGAGATGGCATTAAATGGATTTAAGGAACTCTGTGTGTGTGTGTGTGTGTGTGTGTGTGTGTGTGTCTGCTTTAACATGCTGAAGATTTCCTTTTTGCGTGTGTGTGTGTGTGTGTGTGTGTGTGTGAGTAAATGTGCATGCATCAAATGTGGCTGCATGTATGAATGCATATAAGGAGGAGGCACATTACATGTTTAGACCGTGACTGCAGTGTGTGTGTTTGTGTGCGCGCGTGCATGTGTGTGTTGGGTTTGGTTCGGGCTGGGTCATGCAGGTCTGGCCCCCTAATACCAAATCAGCCACCTGGTCCCAGATTGGGCCACAGCCTGGATTCAGATCCCTTCCTTCATTTAGAAGAGAATGGGATTAATCTTAATCCCGTTTATAGACACCCATAGAGATCAATACTAAACTGCATTTAACTTGATTCGTCTGTAATCTATCACAAAGACGCTTACTACTGCATTAAATGTTGTTTCAGAAAGCTAAGGCTACATTAATGGCTGTGTGTTTATTTTTTTAATGGTTTAAGCTTTCAACCAGTTGAGGTTACAAAAGCTCTACTGTATAATCCCACTCTGACGGACTGACTCAGTTGACCTAATTTAAGATGGTTGTGTTTTCAAGCTGTGTTGCTCTTCCTCTTGAACATTTGCATATTAATTCAGAATTTCCGCACAACAGGATGATAGAAAGCATAATCGTACCGATACCCTCCTGTTTATAAATACTCACACACGCTACGCTTAATTGCCGGTTAGATTTTTTCTTTACCCCCCTAAATCTGGAGGTGCAGCCTCACTCTTTCAACTGAAAGCAGGATTTCTGACAGACACGTGTAACAACCCCCCTTCTTTTCCATTTAATTGGTTTCATAAACAGATTATTTTAAAGGAGAGGGGGGCTTAATTGCTAATCAGCATTTCCACACAGCTCCAGAAGGAGTTGAACAAGATCAAGTGTGTTTTTCCTTCTTTTCAAAATGGAAAAGCACCAAGCAGACATCCGCACTACGTGAAGCAAAAGCATCCAACAAAGACAGTGTTGGAGAGTGTTTTAAGGTTATGATGTTTCAAATCAATAAATTATGTTGAAAGTTGAATTTTGAATGTTTTGGATATCCTGCTGACAAAGATCATGGTTTAGGTCTGTGGTTATTTCTGCTAACACTGCAGAAACCTCAAAAAGTTCTTAAACCACCTAAGCTAGTATTACAAGGGAGTTAATTATACTTTTATGGAGTCTTTTATTGCAGTGTTTTTGGAACCAATAAAATAAAGTCAGAAATGTTAGTGAGAAATACTTCATAATCTAAAAATGTACGAGAAACCTTTCATTTTCTTTATTTGTTTAATAATAAGGACTTTTATCATCTAGCCAGTCTTCAACAGCGGGAGTATTCATACGCAGCAATTGTTTTGGTTTAAAGCTTCAGCAAGGGTCACATCATCAGCAAAGAGCAGGTGTGTCCTTTTTGTTTTGCTTCCTGACATTAATGTGGTGATGTCATTCCCAGCGGTTCTGAGCAATGGTCTGATTCTGCTGTCCTTCCTGGAGCGAGGCCAAGTTGCTGCAGTGTACCTGAACAAAAGGAACCAGGATTCTCTGAAGACGGGCAGGCGGACAGACAAGCTGTCTCCCTCTGAAATCAAGGTACAGGAGTGCGAGCGTTAATAATCTGTGAATGTGTTGGTTTTACCTGATTTTTGTGAGAAGATACAAGACAGAGTTCATGTTCTACCTTTGAGATTCCTTCAAACTTTACCATAGATGGACAGCAAAGGTGACATCTATCTAAACCACATGTGCAGTGAGACTTTCTGCTGTGTGCTTCACAGGTTTAAAGGTGCAGTACGAGATGCTGTTCTTACCGTTCACCCAAACTAGTGTTTGAAAATACGCAATTCAGAGGTCCAACCCCGTTACCCCCACCCCACACACACACACACACACACACACACACACACACACACACGCACACACACACACACACACACACACACACACACACACACACACACACACACACACACACACACACACACACAAAAGCCACGCCTCCACATCACAGGAGGAGGTAATGCTTGTTCTAAAGGTTTCGGTTTTACGTTCAACCCGTTGTTAGCACCTTTTCTGCAATAATTCCTCACACAATGCAACAATATTCTGGCTAATACAGGGTGTTGTTTCTTTGTGAAAATCAAGGCACTTTTTAGCTTTCTTAGTTTATTCTGGGTTTTAAAATCACAGCAGCCCACTGCTACAATTTGGGAAAACTCCACAAACAACCCGACCCGAACATCCTCTAATCTCTCTCTCCTCTCAAGTGTGCCAGCTCCCCAAGCAATAGACATGTGGGTTGCTAAGGCAACTGATCAACGGCACTACCAGCTGACGGAGGACAGGCTGCGTTCACAGACAACAGGTCTGTAAACAGTTCTCAACAAGAACAGAATCAGAATCTTAACAGAACATGTAAAAAAAACTTGCAAACAGACCAGAACCCTCATTTTAAAGCTTGCTTATTCACAAAACGGGGTCTGAAAAGTGCGTACGTGACTTTCCACGCAAACTTTGTGATTTATAAAGTAAAACTTGACAGAAAGTGTGCACAACTTTAATCAAATTGGACCTGGAGTAAGCACATTTTGGAGATGGCAAACCTGGCAGTGCAGCTGGTGAGATGGTGAAATGTTTAGTTTAGGACACATTTTCAGCTAGACACACACACACACAATCAACCAACAATTCATGTTGGCTTTTATCACTCCACGTGGCTCCTCAGCCCACTTCTACAGTAGCGCTGTGCCACAGAAAGTCAATAAAAGTCTTTTTCAGTGCAGTTTTATTTAAATGTACAATATTAATACCATAGTTTGCATTGTCCTTTTATAGCAGGAAGCAGGTGTAGGAAGCAGGATGTGATCCAGAAACACCTGAGCACATTTCTAGGACAGCTGTGATTTATAAAGCACAAACTGCATGCAGTCAGGCATGAGCAGTGTTTTAGTAAATAGTTTACAAAAACATTTTTTTTTTACTGAGTTTAAGGCTTTTTCGCAAGGATTCCTCACAAAGTTTCATAAATGAAGCCCCAGGGCATTCTGTACTTTATTATAAGCTAGCCTGGCTCTGTTCAGCTGCTACAAGCCGAGGGTTAGAGGAGTGAAGTCAGAGGGCAGTTTGATGGATCGATCAGGATCCAGTCATCAAGAACAGAATGCTCACAGTGACTGGATGAAATTTCTCAGGATTGTACATTTAAAAAATGATTAAAATATTTTATTTTTTGACAAAAAATGTATTTTTGTGGTTGCCATCTGTATGCCAAGAGCATTTCATACAATTTAACAAAAAGTGCTAAAGAAAAACATGTCATACTGCACCTTTAAGGTTCCTATATTACTCCAACCACAGTTTTACAGTTATTTAAGTGATATACCTCAGAATAAAGGTTGGCAATACTCTAAAAGAGGGGTGTCCAAACTACTCAAAAGGAGGGCCAACATTGTCAAGTTTAAAAGTCCTCGCTGGACACAAATGTGATTTTTATTTATTTTTTATTTTTTGTAGAACACTAAAATATTAGCAGTCAAAAACCTGCTGGGGAAGCAAAAGTTGTCTTTCTAGAAATTTAACTGTGGGCCACACCATAATTGCCTCAACGGC